ATGACAGAATGAAAGCACCTGAGAACTATAATGAAAATTTGCCAGCTTAGAAACAAATTCTGCTTGCCTGCCTTTAGTGGCCAGAGGGGAAAAAAAAAAAAAGGTTATTTGCACATCAGTAAGAATTTTCTGTAGTAAACAGTATTTGTGAGCAGTGAAAGGAGTAATAACAGGATGTATGTCTTCAGAAGAAGGGGAAGAAATTGCAGTTTCCTTCCTTATCCTCTGGAAATAGCTGAAGACCTTGCTCCTGGATATGGCTGAAAAGGGAATGCCTAGGGAAATCCATTCTGACATCCCACAGAATTCCGTGCAGAATGTCCCACTTCTGGGAAGAGATTCACACTTACTAGGGGTTTCTTAGTAAGAAGAGAGTTGTTCTTTTTCTGGCATTCACTTCCTTTTTCTATCCAAAGGATAAAGTATAGAAACCAGGGAGAATTTTCTCTCAAGAGGTGTGCTCTCCCTTCAGTATCTGTATCCACAAGGCTCTCACTGATACTCATTTTAGCCAGTCTACCCTGAGTGAATACTGAACAGCCCTATGAGACCTGGTCTTCTGTCTTTAGAGGAGGGCAATCTGAGTCTACAGACATGCTTCTATTGGACGTTCTTCTGGAGATGATGAGGCACTAGAGACAGCCCAAAGCCAGATGCGGCCTTGAAAAGTATTCATACTATTACCTTCTCACTGGAAGAATCTGGCACAGCTAAATTGGGATAAAAATTCTGCAAAGCTGTACTTGGAAAGCTTTATTCCCTTATGTGGGAACTGCTGGCACAGGGGACCACTTTTTCAATTACTTTAAAAATAGTTACACATGTAACCTTAGATCATGAAAACAATACTGAAAATAAACCCAATCACACTGCCTTCTCATTCCTTCCAGTCTATTTTCACGTTTCTTTTTGTTATGGCAAAGACACTACTTACTCTTGATCTAACTCAGATGTGTCTAACTTCCAGATTCTCATGCTTTCCAGAGAAATTCTTAATCTAATGTGGAAAGGACAGCTTCTCACCAACAAGTTCCCTTGAAACCTTTACAACACCTCCACTCACCTCCCCCCCCCCCATTCAATATTCCCAAATCCTTGCTTAATGCAGAAACTTGCCCTCACTACATATACAGACTGCATACAGGCCAAGTTAGATGTCACCTCAGAAGTGCTGGATTTTCCTTCTGTACCTGTTGCTGCAATACTCCCTCATTTTACTTTTAGCCAAAGCCTAACCTGAATGAGCACAGAATGATTTCATGGGAGTCTGGCTGGACCTCATGGATGTGGGATGGCTGTTTCTAAAGAGGATGTGGCATGTTCATTATTACAATCCATTTTAAATCTACAAAATCCTTTCCCTAGGAAACTAGAGGAAAACAACTGTATGCAACAGGAACACATTAAGTTGAACCAGCCCAGAAGGATCCCTGTAACATTTATCCTAAGTCAAAACAGTAATCAATATTAAGAGAAACAGAAGGTGATTTGTATTTAACTGATTAGTTTGGAACATACCATAGGAACTCATTAAACTGCAGTAGGGACCAGGAACCAATACAACTAGATGTAGCAGGAACAAAGTAACAAACAAGGATAAAATTATTCATATTGGCATAAGAATTGGCAAACTTCAGTCCCAGTTTAGGTCAAATGAAGTGGATTTACACCAGAAATCTCCTCAATTCCTTGCATGCTCCGTGAGGGAGCAATGTATTCTTTCCTAACATCTTAGCATACAACAGTGTCATTCCTCAGACACTGACAAATATGTAACACTTGCAGAAAAGCAACGTGTGGCAGAAGACCAGGAAAAATTCAGATCAGCAACAAAATATATGATATTGTTCAGTTGAAGTGATAAACTGCTTAAAGATATATGTATGAAGAGGGATGTTGGAAAGACGAGTTCTTGGGATTTGGCTGATTTTAAGGAAGGAAAGAGGGGAAAAAACAAACAAAAAAGAAAATAAGATGAGCCCTAGTTCATCTTTTCTATAAATCCTGCTGAAACAAGCCACACACCCCCCACAAGCACATGGTGATTAACTCCTTCATAAACAGAGGGCCTAATCCCTATTAAACACACAGAAGAGATCATTTAGGTCTCTGCTATCCCAGGTCACCAGATCATGGCATCCCTTTCACATGCTGTTCAGGCATTCTGAAGTGCCTTCTTCCTTCCTGTTCTCACTACTAAGACTTCTGCATTGATCATTAAAAGCTTTCTTACATTCAGGCTAGATGTAGTAACAGTCGGCAAATACTTCATTTTGTAGCATCAAGTCTTGTATCTTAATACTTTCACCCGTAGTACTTCTGTGTTTTTTCTTAAGTAAAACTGCTATATCCCTTTTCAGATTCTATCAGGTTAAGCTACAGTTTTATGCTTGGACAAGAGACACACTTCTTTCCCTGATCACTTTTTAGAACCTTCTCTTTTTCATAGCTGTGATGAACCAGAGCTGTGCACATACCCCAAGTTAGGTCAGCTCAAGATTTGTACATACAGTGCTGTTTATGCTTCCCTTTAGCATCCTGGAACTGCTAATTTTTATTTTTTTTAAATAGGTGAGTAACAGTGATCATTGTTGGACAGACTATACCTGGAGTCTTTTTCTTCTCTCCATTTCAACTGAGGAAGTGACACTCCTGACTTATAGCAAAAAATCTCATTAGTATTTTGTAACTGATTGACTATGCATTTTGCACTGTTATTTAATCTTACCTTGCTGGTCAAAGCAATCTTTTTTTTAAAAATCATATTCAAAACTTAGTGTACTGCAAATTGTTTCAAATTGGTCATTCACAAATCACACTAATGTAGCCCAAGTCTTTCTGCCAAAACAATTGACAGACATACTAAATACAACACCAAGACCAGTTCTTGCAAAAGTCTTCTTCAGAGGTGATTGAGTACTTGTAGTAGTAGCCACCAATCCAACAGTTCCCATTACAAAACACTTTCTCTTTAGCTAAGACCTTACACATGTTGGAATAATCTAGAGATTTCCTTTATGGCTCCACATCACATAGTTCCACCAAAAACCATATGGATTAGATCTCCTGCATTTACTTCATCTAAAAATACAGATGATCACAAATAATTATCAGCTTATTTTAACATCAACTCTTGCTTACTGTCCAGTTATCTATGTCTATAACATACTTTGCAGAAGAGGGATGTACTTAGAGCTCTTCTTGCTACATACACATGAGCCTGTAGTTTCCTCATTTAATTGTTTTCCATTTTAAATACTGGTTCTACATTATCTAGTCTCTAATTATATAGCGACAGTCCTAAATTAACAGAATCCTTAAAATATCTTCTGTTACACTTGAACATTGCATACCTGTTTTTAGAATTTTGGACAGATGATCAAGTCTCAGAACAGACTGCTTTGAGTTTTGTTTATGCTCCAGACACAATGTCAACATTTACATCCTCAGTCCCATCCCAAGTGTCTGCTGCAGGAGCAGGACTAGGAAAAGCTACCGACTTCTAAACAGCCATAGTTAAGGGAGGAAACACTCTCTTGGGTAGAAATCTACCCAGAATTAGCAGTAAGTTTCACCATCTGGAGCTTGTCTTTGAAAGCTTCTCATTAACTTCACACAATTATATCATTAACAAGTATCTCTGCATGAGTGCAACCAGTCTTAAGAGCATCCCTTGAAATATTCCATCTACAAAACCAGAAGCTCCTCCTCTCCAATATATCTTCCACAGTTCAATACACCATTTTGTTTGCATCAATTTGCTCATGAGAACTAGATTCCTATCCTGGCATTTCCTGCCTTTGACAGAAGCTGCGCAAGATAATGTTCTGAGTCAGCACAAAGCACACTAGCTGGCAATGGCGCATAGAAGATGAGGAGTATTTGTCTTTGGAAGTACCTTTTTATTTTAGTGTTAAGTGCATTATCAAATTCAAGGGCTTTCTTTTGTGAAAGACATCACTGTTAAACCTCACATGCTTTTAGGTTGCATCTAAGTCAAGACTACATTAATGCCATAACTCAATTAGGACCTTAAATATATCTTCATTTTATATACATGCTTTTTGTCCAGGGCAAGCTTAATACAACCCCTCCAGCAGAAGGGGTTGTAAAGCAGCACGAATGTCAAAGCGTCCCCAAACATTTAACTTGAGCTCTGCCCTGCCAATGTGCCTCTTTAGGAGAGTTAAAGTGAAACATTAATTACAGACAATTACAATTATGCCAGTTAGAAGCATAATTTCACATGCATCAGGGATAAGCATGCTGGTTGCCTATACCGATTCCAGAAGACTGATCACCTCTAAGCCTGGCTGACCTGGAAGCTAGAAAGTCTCAGAAGCAGAGCAAGGTAGATCAATTCACATTAACACCTACAGAAAGAAAAGAAAAAAATTATCACAGACTTGCTGTTTTAACACAAGTTTTGAATAGTTCTGAATAGCTGAAAGAGTCAAATCAGAGACACCAAGCCTGGCTCCATATTAAAGGCTGCAAAGGATTCGGTTCCAGAACACACGGGGCGGGGGGGGAATGGAACACAGCATGCAATCACCAACCAAAACCTACATATACATTTGCAGAATGATTTCTGAGGAAGTTCTGAGGACAGACTTCAGACTAAACGCCTACTGTAAAGAGAAGCGATATCTAATAATGTTACAGATTCAAGGACTTGGTTGTAACTGCACATGCAATTAAGTCTGAACATTAAGGAATTACTGCCCTTAATTTTTGTCAGCAGTGGTTTGTGCTATCTGGCACTTTAAATGGACACGAGTTTTCTGATCACTAGTTACTGAATCTCACTTGACAGACAGTTAAAACTTAGCTCTCCAGAGGTAACAGCATTCAAATCCAACTGCAAGAACACATCCAACTTGAGTCATCCACTAACTCCTCCAAAAAGAGCATATTATAGCTACAATACAGATACATTATTTTCTGCTACTATAAAATGGCACCAGATAAAATGATTCACTGGAATCTCCTAATGAATTGCTCATTTTTAATCACAACTGTTCAGGTGCTGCTATTTATCAAGAATAGAAAAATTAAAAGGTTAAAAATAGTGTACAGTTTAGCACAAAAGGCAACATTTGAATAGAAGCACATAATTTTAATTCGCTTTGAAGTTTAAAGCAATCCAAACAAAAAAGTTAACGATATAAATACAGAATAAATGCACATAGTTTACAGCCAACTACATGTATGCAAGAATAATAGCAAACCTCACATGAGCACTGAAGTATTCTCAAACTGTCCTTTGTGAGTGTTTAGCTATGACTCCAAGGGCATAATTATGTTCACATATGCACGGTAGGCAGACTCTCTTAAATAGAAGAACTGAAAACTTACATAACTGAGTCTTAACAGAAAGTTGAAAAAAGTAGTACATTTACCTAGGCACTCTTCAGTGTCCAGCCTGTTTTCCAAATTTAAACAGTTTAAACAGGAAGCAACATTTATAAAGGCTCTCCAATCGTTTGTCTCTGGAAGCATTATTTTAAAATGCTACAGTCTGAGGAATGTTACAAATGCCACTTTAAGAACAAAAACAGAATAGCAGAAACTGTCACTGACAAACATCTCAATCAGAAAGGAAATATATGGAGTGTATTATGTAAACAGCAAACTAGGCAGGTGCAATGTCAATATACAAGTGGACAGGTTGATGTTTCAGTTACAATTAACATAACCAAAAAACTCCATAAATCCCTAGCGTAAATCTACTTAAAACAACATAGGCTAGCAGATCAGAAATTCAGACAGAAACAGCAGATCTATCAGTCAGTTTAAAGGCTGGGCTCAGCCCTCTGCAACATACCACAACTCACCTGTTTTCACACAGCTTTACAGGGACCGAATGGATAATAGAGGGGCTGAGAAATGTGACTGCATTCACTGAAATTAATTTTTTTTATGGCCTTCCAAACTCGGGCCACCTTGCCATGTCCCCCCAATACGCCACAGACACTCAGTGACAACCAGTTGTAACACACCGAGCCAGGCAGGTCCTGGCAGAGGAGCTCCTTCTACCTCTAATGAACGCATGCTCCAGTGCCATCTTTTGACTGGTTCAGGAAACTGCAGTCTCACAGTATTTCCCAAATCTGTTAACTGGTTGCCGAGTCAAAATTAACAGCTTGCAATAATATTTAAGTTTCATCTAGGCAAGGGAAATATGAGGAAACTAATTAAAGTCCAAGACCTTTTCCTCTAGCACGGAAAAGCGTGACATAAATAAACTACATTCAAATCAAGATGCCCATCTAAGTTACAAGAAAGTTTAAATGCACTCCTTTCAGTTCTGTAGTTAAAGACATTAATGAATGTAGCATCTTCTTACTCCTTTTGAGTTTTTATAATAAATATCAAGAAAACTATATAAATAATTCAAAGATCTTTGGGAAATACTTCAGAGGTAACTTTGTATGTACTGGTAGTTTAAAAATAACAAAAATCCCAAGAAACTTCAGGTTTATGTTTTGTTATGTAAAGCAAGCCCAAAAGATCACCCCTGAAGGTTAAAACATTGCTTAAAACACCCCTTAAAAAGGTTGAATAAGCTGATTGTCTATTTTTAGCTGTTATCTCCCATATTCAATTATCCTTGTTAACATTTTTCTACTTAACTCCAGGGGGGCTGTTCTCACCCAGACAAGGCACACCACACGGTACCCAGTGAATTAATGGGAGATGAACATGTAACCAAGAGAGAACATATCCAATAAACACAAGAGGAAGGTAACTCTCATGAAGCCTACACTAATCCAAGTGTTAACTGTATGCATGAACTCCAAAGCTGAATATTGTCTTTGCCAATTTAAATTTTGGCTATGCCTGAATAATCTGCATAGCCTGAAGAGTAATCCACTTTCTACACAACAAAAATTACAGCCAGTAGCTATTCCTGCACTTACTTATCTCAACAATGGTATCACAGCAAGACTTAGGTCAGAGTCATGACTACTCCAGACCTTTCCTAGAGAGATCACCAGAAAAAGACCACTTCAGAACACACATTTAAGCACTCCCCTCACTTCTAAACTATCAAGTTCACCTTTGGTCACATCACAGACCATGCTATCTGTCCTTAAAAGGTAAGATAACGTTTTCCAAGAAGGAAGTCAATGCAGCTAAGCCTCCACTGCAAGGTCACTGTACATGCTATAGGCGGCTTTTAGAAAGATGAGCAATTAGTACAGAGAATTAAATGAAATATTCAAATACTTTGACACTGTGTGGAGAACATGACAAGGGTCAAAATAAAGGAAAGCTAATGAAAAAAAACCAGACTCACTGTTCTGCAACAGAGATATTATGGATCTACAGCATAAAATGTTTTATCCTGCACAGCTTACATGGAGATCAAACCACGTCCTTTGTTTAAAACCAAAGTGCATGGTTTGTACACAGTTTGACTACAGATAACCAGTAAGAAGAAAAGTTATAGGCCATAAGAAGGCCACAAAGTGCATAAGGAGTCATTCATAAAATAAAGCCATTGCACACAATGCACAGTTTAAGTGTACTGAAGTACCACACTGGAAGAGTTGATAGCACAGTTCTGTCCACATCAGTGCAGCAGCATTTATATGCAGAAAGCCATTGCCCCCAATTTATAATGATCACCTTCCTCATAAGGATCATGGACACAGACTGAGAAGTACTCAAGGTGCAGATAAAAGTTACATGTTTGGAAAGCTGTACTAGTTCTTGGAACATTAAGCTTCTGATTTTGACACTGCAGCTATATGATTTTGGAAAACCCTGTAAATTATGACAGAATAAACTAGCTAAGCCTCACTGCTGAATACAAAGCATTGTTTTGCAATTGGCTTATAGAACAAAACAATGCCTGAATATTCAGACAATTTGGAGGACAAGGTTATACTGTCAGCTGCAGTTCAGTACACAGGCTCAAGTTGTAAGAAGTGACACAGCAATTATCAAGGGGAATGCTAACAAGAAAATCTCAATTACAATTTTCTCCATCATTCTGCACAGAGGCTGTTTGCACTGAAAAGATCTACCACAGTGTCAACTGTTTTCTGCTTTCTGGTCGCCTTAGCCACAGTGATATGTGTTCTCCCCCTGTACTCCCATATAGATACTAATAATCCATGTCAGGATTTGCCAGTCATTTTAGGGTAATACAGCTCATTCTTAGGTAGCATGAAATCATTTGATTGAATCCTGTATTCACAAATAGTAGGCTGGACTAGTTGAGATTTCTCATCACATTAAGAATCCTTAAAAGGGCTACAAAATAGCATTCAGCAAGTTCTTTCTTAGCTGTGTGAGTGACCTGACAGGCTGGCAAGGAAAACTGATAATATAGGAGAACATTTCATAGGTCTCTCTTACTTAAGGAAGGGAAGTTCCAGAAAAGAAAAAGGATGATGCAGCAGAACTAGAAATCCACATACACCAATATTAACAGATTGATAACCTTAAGAGTTCAACAATCAGATCCTCTCTCACTAACCTACAACACTGCTCAAACTTAAAGAAAAAAAACCCAAAACCAAGTATCACCTTTTGTAGTGAAGAAATTATGCTGTTCTGGGTCCCTGCACCATATTTTGTCTTGAGGTAGCAACATGCAAAATTTTACACACTGACTGCTACCTCAGTCTCTTTATGTATCTTCAGAGTAACTGAATTGAAGTTTCAGGTATGGAAAGGTATGAAAGTACTGTCTTCTCCACTCTTCCAACAGGTTACTGTGCAGTAAAACAGAACAAAAAGGATATAGTTGAGACCAATTACCAAGGGAAGTGAATAAGGCTGCCCAAGAATATATTTTGTGGCCCCTCCCTCACCCATCATGTCTCTGAAGATGACTGAATGGCCTTGTCCAGATTAACAGATAAAAAAAGTAACAATTTTGAATTCAAAGATGTATAAAGGCATTCCCTAAGGGGAAGTTCCCATTTGTCACATTGCCAAGAGACCACACAATAAGGCAGCAGAATTATTCATAGTTGCCCACGATCAACATTCGGTTTTGTCCATAGCTGCATTTTCCTGATACAACTTTCCTTTGAATTGACATTCAGTGGTCCACTCCAGTCTTTCCATCTTCCACCCTCTTCTAGGAAGCCTTGTCACACTGCTATCCATCAAGCAAGTAGACTACCACTTCATAGGTTGACATCATGATAGCCGTGTTTGGAATCTGTCTGATCAGGTGTGTAGTTAAACCTCGGTAGAGGGATCCATACCCTTCTTCTCGCACAAGCAAAGACAGTGTCTGGAAGAAAGATCTGTATTTTGTTCCCTCTTCTCTTAGTCTTGTTCGTACAACCTCTGTACAAAGAAAACCACATGCAGTTATGTTCACCACTTCTCATTATCTTTCCCAGAAACCAATTAGTGATTTTACACTAAAATGAAATCTTTCCCCCTCCCCAAGTTCTCAATATTAAAAGAACTCTTTAAAAAAGGAGGAGGAAGATGCAAACCATGTATGTGCAAGAGGAAAACAATTTAATTTTTTGGCAGTATTGGATATCTAAGTAAGAAAAGTTTATTTGTTTAGTTAAAATCCAGAAGAGAACTCTTGTTTGGGCTTACGTTTTAGCTTGGAAATTGCCACTAATGAAGTAGTCGATCCATTAACAAACTTAATGTATACACAACTACTTTGTAGGAAAAGTAAGTGCAACTGAAAACCAAACTAGACAGCCTGTTTTCCTAGAAGAGGGACAAGAACTTGCTGGCAAGTTATGTGAAATTGCTGAGTATATAGAGAGATTCCAAGTCAAAAAAGGACCTTCTCCTTAAGTACTTTAGGCTATGCCCTGGCAAATCCTTTGGAAAAATAAGCATTGCCTAAGAAGAGGCCATGCTAGATATCTACTCAAAAATACTTCCATTTCTGAATACTCTACTCATGTTGACTCGCTGAATCTGATGTGAAAAGTTTTAGACAAAGAAGTAGTTCTTGAGCAAGTGAGCCAAAGTCTGCTACAAATATCACTGAAAAGACTCCCCTTTAATCAATTTGATTCAGGTTCTCAGCTGTACATGCCCCACTTACCATGGGGATATGCTATTGATGTTGCACAAGTTTTGGAAGTGGCAGCAGCCATCATCATGCCAACAAAGTCTGAAGCTTCTTTTGCTGATTCATCCTCATTGTCCATGGCAGAAGCAGTCTTATACTCCAGTATTTTTCTCTTAATACTCTCATAAATAACAAAATGAATAACAGTCTCAGATATGCCTGCATAGGATGCCGACATTCCTCTGTAAAAGCCTTTAATACCATCCGATCGATAAACTTTTCGGACACATTCAAAAGCACTCATTCGCTTTTCTCCACGATTCCTAAAAAGGAGAGAACAAGACAGACATCAAGCTGGTGCAACTTGAGACTGGAAAATAATTAAACAGTTTTGTTTGAGTGACAAGAGGACTTAGGGAACATCTCACACTGATGCTGAGGGGCTCCAATTCAGATACATTTAAGAACACACAGAACTTGATGTAAAAGTCTCAAAGGCCTTCAGCACTAAACACAGGTAAGGCATTATACTGAATCCAAGCCAAACTTCATACGGTGACTAAAGAAAAAGTATCACATTGCAAGTTGAACAGCTCTAAGCCTCCCCAAGTCTTACAGAAAAAAGGACTAAATTGCTTGAAAACAGACTCCCAAATGAACTGTCAGTGTCAGCGACTCATGAACAAAATGGTCATTTTCTTCTTCATCACGACAGTGGATTTCCCCTCAATTTTGCCTCAAACAGCTCCATAGCATGGTAATTACAGCAGGCCTTACAGCATCACAGCTATCAGCAAACAACTAGCATACGAAAGGGAGCACACGGAGCATACCAACCAATACAACACAGGTAGCTATTATTTGATTCAATTAAGCTACTGTGGATGTCAAGGAAAATGCTCATTAGACATGACTGTATCAAGCAGTATTTGGTATATAAAATCTTACTCCTATTTTTAGCTTGCTTACTGAATTGTGCATACTGAAATACTTCGCATACCATATACAGCTATGCAAAACCATTACAACACTGCATAAAATATGCTTCATTGCAGCAGCGAGTGGAGGCACTTGAAGCACATGGATTCTGCCAGCAGAGGTCTCCTGAGTAAGCAAGTCACAGAATAAAACAGCAAATAACCTTGTAAGAAGTAATGGTTACTCATATGCATACTGTCAAAGCAAGACAGTGGCAGCAGCTATTACATAAATAGTATGAGGCATCACTCTGGCAGAATTTAAGTCCTGATGGTTTGAACTGCAATGTCAGACAGCAATGAAACAAGGTACCAAGCACAATTAAGAAAGAGTGGGCACACATAGATGCAAATCAGATCTTGAGCAAGCTAGGTGGCAGATGCTGCAGAAAACTGGGGGGCTGGCACTGATTTGCTGACAGGCAACAGAAAAGAGACAAAGAACAACTGGTGAGAAGAGCAGCTGGACCTACAGCTACAGCTCCAGAGGCATCTCAGTCTTCATATGTCCCCAATACACCTGGACAGGTGCCCTGGCAGACTGCTGTAAGAGTTTGTTCTTCTGATGCCCAAGATGCATGACATTGTCTTGAAGGCCAAAGCAATTTCACTTTGGAGACAAAACACATGCCTTCACCAGCTCTTACTGGGATCAGAGGTATTTTTGAGAACTTCAACAGAAACAAGATCAGGCCAGGATAATCCCACAGGCCAAGTGTTTTTTTTATGCCTCTAATAAAAACTGAATTAGAAGAGCTGAGAATGCAGTTATGTGCTAGACTAGCCTATGTAATTGCAGTATCCCACACAAAGTTGGAAGATCCTTCTTCAGGTATCCCACATGAATAATGTGCTTGATATAATGTACACAGGAAAACCATAATTTTCCCTAATATCCTTAAAGCCCTATAGTTTAAGCAATTTAACTGATTAATCAGTAAAAAACGAGCAGAGGCACAAGATGCCAACATGTTGCACATAGCACCAAGAACCCCCTGGAATTAGTCATGGAATTATCACCCCAATCATATGATGGCATCACAAAAGATTTCATAGTAAAACTAGTTCTTGGATATATTTACAATGGTCACTTTGCAGCTGACAATATGCCTGCTAAGAGGAAAAATGCTAATATGCACTTAAAACAGAAAGTCCAACAGATCTCCAAAATAGGAATATGTAGCTCATTAATGTATATAGGATGGCTGAAGAAAGAATTTTCTATTGCATGCTAAGTTTTCAGTAAGAAAGCCTACAAAGCAAACAAGACAGTTGCATTGAAGCACTTGCACCATATCAGTCTCTCCCTACAGTTTTAAATAGATGGGAATATAAAAGTCCTTCTTCCTCCCTATTTGCATAAAATTCTACTTCATTACAAGTTTTGTAACAATAAACAGTTTCTGTAATCGATTCTGTAGTCCAAACGACTTGTATTGACTGTTCCCCATTAGGTCAATTCCTGTGTTCTGATTCATGAAAGCAGTCTTCCTCTTTTTATAGGCTAGCGCTCACTTTATATAAAAAAACAAAAAATTCTTATTTCAGGAATGTTTAGTTCAACAGCCACAACCAAAGAGAATGTATTACTGAAGGAAAATACAAGCATATGGTTGGTAGAACATTATTTTAATGAGACTGTTAACCTTGTAATTAATTCCAAATTTGCTGGCCAGTCTACTTTAGTGCCTCAAGCATGCCTCAGAACACAGATTAAAATAGAGAAAAATGATAGTGTAACTTGTAGACAGATCAGCATCAACTTTCTAATTTGATATGTTGGATATTTAAAGAATCATTCCATTCTGGGATGCTGAACAGATTCACAACATTTAAGTGAAATCTTAGCACAGCAGTGATATTTCCCATTGTCACTATACCTTGCATCAAGCTGTAATCGTGTCTTTACTAGCCAAATGGGATTAGTTGTTGTGATCGCAGTAAAACCTAAAATATTTAAAAAGAAAAGTTAGATGTGATAGTATCACAGGAGCAACTGCATCTAAGTTTGAAACGCACACAGTAAGGTATAGTGGATGCAAAAACTCGGACTATACTGATTTTTAGAAAGTACCCATTGTAGCCCTTTACTGATATTTTATGAAGCCATACAGCCAATAAATATTTAGTTTATTTTTAAATTTTACATTAATATTGAATAAATTTAATTCTTAGCAAGAGACACCCCATTTAAAATAAGCCAAATTGTGTACATTTCTCTATCTAATCATACCAACCCTGTTTTGACACTACAGAACAGCAAAGCTAGCTAGACTAATACTAACCAATTTGGCAAACATGTCAATAACAATGCACTGCAGATACAGCTATAGCAATTTAAGACGGTATAAAACATTGTGTCAATTTAATTTGCTACCTGAAATACAATCCGAGTTTAGAAGCATGCAGACTGAATAAATACTACTTTTGGTGCAGTTAAAAGGTATGTATTACTGTAAGTTAAGAGACCTTTTAATACTGAACTATAAAGAACAGTTAAATCTGAGTGCTAATGTTTTATTTAGTATTCAAAGCAGAGATTGTTGGTTGGCCTAGGAATACTTTTACAAGCATGAGTGTTTAAATTGTTAAAGTAAATAGTATGACTTCTAACTACCCAGACAGACAGCAACTATTCAGGCTTGCATAAGGGCTAAGGGTTAAAGCTTTGATTTTCAGTCCACTAAAGAAAAAGAAAAGGAAGAAAAAGAGAAAAGGAAACAAATTAAAAGAAAGTAGTAAGAATGACTCTTACTTCTGCACAACTGTGGAGAGGAAAAGAGCAGAGTGAAAGGCAGCTCTGAAAAAAAAGTAAAATAAAAAAAACTATCTAGAGTTGTAAAACCACACATGCACCATTAATGAGGTGTCATGTCTGCAGGAGAGAAGAGAAAAAGGGAAGAGCTGGAACATGGCCAGGCAAGAGATAAATTTAGACACTTGCTTTCTAAGTGACACTTGTATATTACTACAAAGACATGCTGCCCTCCTGCAAGGGAATGGACTGGGGTTGTGGGAAAGCAACAAAGAGTTACCTTGTTCAGTGCATATTTGGTGCACAATACTGTATACAATGAACAGGCTATCGATTAGCTTGTTTATCGAGATCATTAACAGCTTATGTATATATATTTAGCAGAACTGCTTGCATACATGTTACTTCTGTTCAATCACAATCTAGGTTTACATTGCACACAAATGACTGCAATTCTCAGAGAAATGCCAGAGGATCTTAACTGTTTTAAGGTTTCTTCTATCCCCACCCCCAAATCTTAAATAGGTCAGTATGAGTTTCAGTTACAGTTTTAAAGACAAACTACAAGGTTTAGCAGCTACTAAGATTTAGCTATATTTCTACACCAAAGTAAAAAACATGTTAGAGATTTCAGTTTAATCTTTTAATTAAATAGATCTTTAAACTGACTCAAACCTCTTAACTAACTTCCTGGGGTAGGTACTAAAGGTTTGGGGTTGGCTTTTTTTCCGATACATTACTCATGTTCTTCTCTGTCTAGGTACATATATAGCCCTTCATACAATGGAGGGAAATCCTAATAAGCCAAAAGTGTTTTGTATCTGCATTTCTTGTAGGTAAATAATTAAGTAAAAACTCAAAGCATCAGGGAACTACTCTGCCATAACAAGGCATGGGATGTTTTTAAAACATACTGCATCTGCAAAAAAGGTTCTGTAGGTCAACTAGCCAGAGCCCTTCTGATCTGTCACTTAATGCCATAGAAACTCCACTGATTCCAAGAGCACTTGACCCTGGGTTGAACTATACTGAATGGAAACACTGTTCTTGCATTTTTTATTTCTTTATACTAGCACTAAGAAAGCTTTAATTTTCTTTTACTTCAAATCAGAATCTTTCCACATCTACAGTGCAGTGAAGGGCACTAGGAATGCACAGGACTGCAACAAAAGCTTTGAAATAAGGTGGGGAAAAATTACTAACTTCCCCTACCAACACATTTTCCAGGAAAGACTTCTCTCTAAAAAACAAAATTAGTTCTTAATTACAACTGAACAAGACCAAAAAAAATCTTGTGTTCCTATTTAAGTTGCATGCTTTGGAATTTTGTTACTGCTAGACTGTATGTTAGAACATTATCCACTCAGCCCTTTCCCCTTCCCATTCAACCCCAAAAACCCAGTCTCTATAGATCCTAGATCTAGAACAGGAAACACCTAGGTGAGATCAGAGGCAGTGTCTGAGTGGCAGTAGTGACTGTATTCACCCACAGCAGCAGCCTGATACTTCTAGGCAGGCTGGGAAGAGTATATTGGAAATTGCCAGTGAAGGGTGGTTGGCACAGGACACAGCCTACTCTGTCCAAACTTGTACTCCCTGGGTTGCTCTAAACATTTAAGCATAGCACCCATAACAGTAGGGTCAGGTGCTTAGCAGCATAGCCAATTTTTTTCCCTTGGGCTGTCATAAGCCTAACTTGCATGACAGTTCACAGAATCACAGAATGGTCTGGGTTGGAAGGGACCTTAAAGATCATCTAGTTCCAAGCCCCCTGACATGGGCAGGGACATCTTCCACTAGACCAGGTTGCTCAAAGCCCCATCCAACCCGGCCTTGAACACTTCCAGGGATGGGGCATCCACAACTTCTCTGGGCAACCTGTTCCATTGTCTCACCAACCTCACAGTAGAGGAATTTCTTCCTAATATCTAATGTAGATCTACCCTCTTTCAGTTTAAAACTGAACCAAAGCTTTCAAATCAAAGAGCCTTCCATAATTCAGGTTTCAAGATGAAACAACTACAGCTCAATTCTTCTAGGTAATGTAGTAAATACAGTTGGTGGAAGAAGAAAAATAAAGAGTTAAGTGATGCTGACACCAAGGAAAGCACTCCAAAATATGAAATATACCATTTGGAATCTTTGGTAAGATAAGCTTTTCTTTTTAAATGCAGAAAATCTGTAGCAAAAGTACTTGTTAAAAAAATAAAGGTAGGGGGCTCTCAACTACTATGAAGCTCTATCAATTGTTTCCTTTTTCTTTTTTTCTTTTTCGAAGTCTCAGTGAACTTTGATAAGCATTGTAAAGCATTATAATGTGTTGTATCCTCAAGAAAGATTCCAGATTCATTAGAAGTGTAGATCAATTTGGCAATACGAGAAACTTCTGTACTTTTCTAGGTTTTATTTTCTATGAAATCATATCCCGGTTTCAGATGGAAAGAATTATCTCAATCTACTTTTTCAGCTATACCAGCTACTGACAGGTAAGATCCCAGGTATTCCTATTATGCATCATATTTCAAAGGTTAGGGGTTTGTGTTGGTTTTTTTTTTAATCTATAAGCCAATGTAATTGATAACAGACGCATGTGAATATGGAATGCTGAATTAAAAATCCAAAGTAGTAAAATAAAAACAAACCAAAAGAGAATACAGAAAGAGACAGAAAGGAGATTATATACATATTAAAAAAGAAAAAGAAAAGAGGTCTTTGAAATAATGTGACAACACAGAGTATCAGCTGCAGCATTTTAATGGCAGCTCTGGGATACTGGAAAAAAAAACCAAGAGGCCTTGTTTAACCCAGTAGGGACTTTCAACTAGCCAGAGCTAAGTAAAGTAGCAGCTATCAGTGAAAGGTATCTTCCACCTTTCCCTGAACTGTACAGAAAAAATAACTCTTAACAGAGTTAAGAAGTGATGTCTTTGCACAATGTACATCATCTGAATTCAAGATAATGAAAATGAATTCCCCTTATTTTGTTTATTTAATAGATATTACAAACCCAATGTGTGGTTCTTACACTAGAGGCTGCAAGAGACGCTCAGTTCAGTACTCACGAGGTTTAAGTTAGTCCATATTTCTGCAGGAAGTGACCTGCGGATGGGGAGCATGAGATGACACGATCTCACTCTTTTCACGGGAGAAATGTACAGTAAATGCCTAAAATAGACACAGGCTTTTCTGTATCATAACAACAAGCAGTGACCTCATCAGACACATGTGTACAAATCGAATCCCATTGGAAGGATTTGTGAATTAGTTATTGTGAGATCTAACTGTTTTCAGGTAAAAGTTTAGGAAAAAAAGAAAGAAAAAATAATCAGAACAGGCCACAGATACTAAAATAGTTGTGTAAAATGCACTGAGTACTGAAATTTCTGCTCATTTGCAGCAGTTCAATTTTATCTCTCCAAATACTTACCTATATATCAAATGTACAAGTAAACCCTCCTCCCTCCCCACTCCCTCCCAAATATCATTCAAAAAAGCTAGCCTTGTCTTAGGACTGAAAAAGCAAGATAGATGCCTTATGAAATCAAACTTTCTAATATCAGTAATCAATAAACTAAATACACATTTTATTTGGTATTAAGTAACTGTGTACATACTACTAAAAAGTTACAAAAGTATGGTATCTCTGGAAGTAACAAAGTGGTCCCAATTTTTTTTTTTTAATAAATAAAATCTATATTTGGGTTGGTTTGCCAGTAGAGTTCTAGAAAGAACAGCAGTAGCATACAAGGCAAAGTTGTTTTGCAGATTTCAACCATGTTGTCTGAATGAGGCTATGAATCTTTAAAAAGGCAAATCAGAAAGCCATATAGGAATCAAGTATCTCATTCAGTTTTTATTCTCTGTGACAAGAGGTTGAGTAAGCACAATGAGAAGACAGAGTTTATAGTGAATCTGAGAATTTAGCCTAACTTTGAAATTTACAGAGATAAACTATCTTCACACAAGCAAACGCTCTAATGCTTCATATATATTCACTGTCCAAGGTTGCAAAAAGAGAGCCATGTGATATGACAAGTAATAAGCAAAAAAAAAAAAGATTGCCAAGTACTTCTTCATGTCAATACACAGATATTTTAGGTATGAAGGTGACGTGAATTATATGCTGGAAGCTAGCACACAGCAAGAGAAAAACATTCATTTCTAATTGCATAAGGCATCAGTTACTAGTATGTAGCACAATTCACCCTCCTTGGGATAAAACAGACTTACTAAAAGAATCTTAAATACCAAAAATGTATGTTTTATCTTGAGAAGGAAGAATCAGGCCTAAAACAAAAAAATGCTTAAAATACCATATCTCAGCTTCTCACACCCAAAAATGCCACGTGCATAAAACAATCCTTATTTAACAATGACATCAGTCTAGCCTGAGATACTTATGTATTAACATGAGACAAGTTAACAGTATTTAAAGTTGACTAAAGTTAATTACTTACAGTACTTTCATAAAACAGTTAGATTTTTTAGAAATTGTATTTTTGCATCATTAGTGTATTTTGCAACCTACAGGAAGTTTTATAAGTGCAAACACCACCTCATGCTCATTATGTATTAGAAGCCTTTATGTAACAGAAAGGTCATATAAAAAAACCAAACACCCCTCATTTAAGACCGAGTTACTCAATTCCTTACTGAAACCAATGGCAGCTGCAAAAGAAAACACCAATACTTATTATTTTTCACTAATTTTTAGAAGTGTTTATCCACCTTGTCAATTTTGAAATTTTAAGTTCCAAAGCAAATATTACAGTGATCTTCTGTGTTAACCTGTTTAAAGTCAACCAATTAAGAGCTCACATTCAATCTTGTCCCTGTTATTTTGCCATCTCCTTAAGTTGATTTGCATCATACAGCAATACAAACCTTGCAGGTAAAACTGTTAATAGCTGGTTTAAGTGCATTTTCTGAAATCTATTAGAATTACAAAAACAAGGTTAGCACGTTCCCAAGAAAGCACTGTTAATTTTAACTACAGTCCTTTTCATATAAATCAGAATACCACCAGTACTGAGTATCAAGAAATTGTTTGTAAAGAACCTTCTTTTAAAGGCCTTCCAAAGAATATCTGTAGTATACAATGCCAAGACATTTCAAGAAAGAAAAAAGGCTTGACCTGTAGTGTTGAACCTGCACTAGGCATTCAGTTTCATTGGCTATATGGTTTAGAAATACAACTGCAGAACTAGGTTAAGTGTGAGAAAGATGACAACCACAGAAGTTGTTCAATATTAAAACTTGTATACAAATGTAAAACCGGTGAACAGCAATTAAGGCTCAAATCCATTTACCCCAGTCTCCTGCAGTCCTAAGTACAAATGCGTAAATACCAACCTTCTGAAGGGAAGCAAGCTAAGCCGATACAGAACTCCTTGACAAACTATGGTCTGTGTCTGCAAGCACTTGGGAAAAATCACTACAGCACATCTCCATAAATGTTCTTTTCATTACAGAATGAAGGCAGTAACTTCCAAAGATAAGGAACACTCTGAACCTTGGTTTGTCTGCAGCACTGCATGAGTTACACAACTTGTCTTCAACTGAGGATAGACTTGTTTCTATTACCTATACTTCACATGCACACACCACTACATATTTAAAGACACATTTTATCCCCTTGACAAAGAGCTGAAGACAATTCATTTTTCCTGGATTAACTAACTGATTAGGATGAACTTTTCATGAAATCCCCTTCCATCCCATTCCCCATGCTGTTCACCTACAAACAAAACATGCATTTCCAGGTGAATAAAAAATACTGCATCATCTGAACTTTATTTTGCTCATTTAAGATAAAACAGCTCTCCTTACATCTCTAAGGAGATTAAAAACTGCCATCGCATTTTTCATGCGCTAGAGATGAGCATTAGTGTGTCATTTAAGTATAAAGCTAATATCACTTAAATTTTCTATGCTATGTAACAATTCCTTTGTATCAGATTATTAGCAAGTATTAAATAGAAAACCAATCCTATTCACTATTCTGACATCACCTTCGGTAGTCCATTCCAGATTGCTAGTATTCACATTATATACACTGGTTGTAAAATTTGACAGGAATTAGAAACTTCAACAGGCTACCATAAAATTGTCAGAATTCATCTGTGAAGTGTCTGACCTATACAGAAAAACAAACTTTTGAAAATTAGTTTTTGTGTAGGAAGGACACAGGCAACAATAGGTAAAGTGTTGCCAGCCCAAGTTTTGATCTCCCCAGCACAAGTCCATGATCATAACTCAGCTCAGTTGCCTTTAACTCTCCTTGTTAATGATCCCAAAGCACAGAACATACAAATCAAGCAATAAATATTGGTAGCTGCTAAAATATACCAAGGTTACACTGCAGATTCAAAATAGGAATTTATTTCCAGAGATGAAAATATATGAAAACTATGGAAATCCGCTCTTCTACGTCACTTTAGTGGTAGAGCAAACTTCACACAGACTGGTATTTGAACAAAGGAAGAGAGAGTGTTACATATAATTTATACAAATATCTATAGGTATATTTCAAAAAGACAAAAATAAGTCAGATATACAAAGCTGTAACAGAAAGTAATGGTAAAAAAATACATCAAAAAGCATTAAACCAGAGTTCAGTGCAAACAACGTTTATAGCTTGCAGAGCAAAAAGTTACAAAACAAAAAGTTTTGAAAGTATTCATTTTACATTTCACAAATTTACAAGTGAAAAAGCAAGCATGCAAGTTTTCCTAGAAAAGACTATTCACACACACAAAGATCTTTATTAACAGTAAGTACAAAGTTCTATGCACATATTCTCCAGATTGCTTGTTTAATGAGAAGCCAAAGGTAACCACTACAAAAAACATAATCATTCAATCACTGAACATTTTCTGTTTTGGTTTTGTTTTTCCACATTTATTGCCACCTCTCATTTGTAGATGCGACTCTAGAATTAAGCTAAAAAGTTACAGATCCTTACCTGCCACACCAGCTGAAATCATGTGTACCTGGGTAGAATCTGGATTGAAAATACTGTTCAACTTTTCCTTGCAGTTTGAGTAAGCAGCAAAATATATCGCTCTAAAATTAGAACAAAATCCAAGTTATGTTACATTTTCTGTGTTGATACCCTTATGAGCAGTGCCATTAACTTCACTAACTTAAGATGATCTTGGTTCAAGTCTTACTTCCTCAGTAAAAAACTACTCAAGGAGTAACTCTTGCAAAGTAGTGGGACTATTCTAGGAATGGAAAAGAACAACAACAAAAAAACCCCCATACTTTACAACTTTTTCTTCCACAACAGCTCCAATTAACAACTAGTGAGGAGAAGGATAGATAATTAGAAATATGGCAGTGATTTTTGTGACTCCAGGAAGTTTAGCCACAGAAGCAAAATACTGCTGAACTGAGAACTGAAGTTACAGTATTCTGTATTTCTTTAACAACAGATCAAATTTGTTCTAATTGACCTAAACTTACTTCAACAGCATTACAATTTCAAGAGAACTAGCAAGTATGTATCTTTTTTTAAAAAAAAAAACAAACAGCACACTTAAATATTTTATAATATTATTCTAGCATTTAAGATGCAAGTATTAATAACTTGTAGTTATAAGTATTTATATTTTAAATGCTAGAACAGCTGCAAAGCTGGGATCCACATTGTTTCTTTAGCTCTGTATTTAGAATAGACACAGATTTTTTTCTTTGAATGAACCACAAAAAAATTTGAAAACTTGTACTACAGTCAAGACTGGGATGGTATCAAAACAAAGCTAGACATAAAAGTCAGCATGCCAATGCCATATATTATAGAAAATGCTTGTTTTCGCTCATTAAAGCTAAGAAACTTACTTTAAGCATATCTAAAACTCACATTTAAGGTTGTAACTCATTTTTTATTTAAACTTAGACACCCCTCTACAAGAGAAAAAATGAACATGCAATTTTTCATGAACAGAACATTAACCTCATTAGCTGTGCAAACATGTTTTTCTTTATTATAAAAAAGATGAAGTGCTTGTTTCATGGGTGTAACTTCTAAAACAGAATCTGAACTCAGTTAAGTATACTGGATGTGTTATGAAACACGCTTCTCTACAGCTTGTTTAAACAAAGAGCTGCTGTTAAATCCACTTAGCTAATGCTTAATTGAAATGAAGTACTGGATGAAGACCGAGTCTGCTCATGGGGAATGAGGATGTGCTTATTTATAAGACTTCACACATTTTATCAAGTTGACATTTGGGGGTAGGGAACAAGCAACGTATTTCACCTGGGGGAAGAAGGGAAGGGAATTAGAAAATGTAACATAAAATTGACTTGCAATTGAGGATACTTTCCACTGAGGATAGTCATGTATAAAACGGAATCCATTGCTGTATAAAAATTGATATTACTTTTTGAATAGCAATGTTGAACATTCAGACCAGACTGGACAAAAGCACAGGCTCTTCAGCTTAGGAAGTGCTGATACTCCACACATGTCAAGACAAAGAAAGCTACTGGACTTACTTCAGCTTCTCCAAACAGCAATGCTAAGTTAGTGATCAGAAAATACCTCAGGTATTCCTAATTCTTTAAAAAAAAAGTGCTAAAATAAAAGTAGTCCAATTCCTGAATTATGTTTTTCTCTTATTCATGCAGAGGGTCTACAGAACACCTCATCTTTCAGATCTACATAGAAGATAATCAATGCTGAATGGAAAGTCCAATTTAATAAAATTTTCCAGAAGCATCTAAAGACCTTAAACCAGAAAAGTTAAGATACTCTCCAGCTGGGTGTGCAGGAGACAGGAACATCTCCTCTTCAGACCAAAATGAAAGAAAAAAAAAGGAAAGCGGGGCACTAAGTCAAGGCAAGAATAAAACCTTTGTGGAATATATTCCCTCTGCATAAAGACTCTTCTCAAACACAATAAAAATGGGCCAGAAAACAACTATAGCCTCATCCAGAATTAAGTAGTTATATTAGTCTTGCACAGCTTTGTTTCCATACTCTTCCTTACGTATTCTCCTATTTTTGGACTGAACTTAGGCTAACACTTGTATGTAAGGATCAATTCAAACTCTGGCATAATCTGCACCTCGCTCTGACTGCCAGCACCAGCCAAATAGCTAGAGCACGTGCTGATGCAGAGCAACTGACAGCAGCAACACCACTGCCAATTACATCAAATTTACGTCCTTGTCCACTGCACTCCCTGACACTGCCCCAGTACCCTTTGGAGTCCAGCCCACTGCTAGATCTGCTTTCTCTGGGACAACTGGTAAGTGTGTCATCCTACCAAGTCTTGCCCTTTTTGAAGTTTCAGAACAGGCTTCCTACTGCAAGGGGACAATAGTCTGTGTTTCATCAGAATTCAGGAAAAAAGACCCAGTGCTTTGAGGCTACAACCACAAAACTGCTTCCTGAAGATGATGGATTAACTGACAGCTAAATCTACCTTTGTATTTTCAAAGGTACAAACTTCCTGTTTACATATGCAACTCACTTAAGCATCTTCCTTCTTAACTGGACATAGCTCTGCATAAGGGATAGTACACAATAGTAAATACTATTATAATAGTATATAGGATAGTAAATGCTGAGACAGTTGGTGCAGCGATGTGGGACTGGAGCTGTGGCATTCACAAGTGGCTCAATTTCTCAGACAACTATATTACCCCAGGAACCAAAGGTTATTTGCTATTAAGTTATTTACAGCTGCAGAGGCAAAACTCACTTCAAATAAACCTTAAATCCCTTAATGTACAGCAACCTAAGTTTCATCAAAATTATTTCATTTACCATACATGTTTGCACTTACCTGGAAGGAGCAACACCTACTAAATTAGGACCCAGCCCTCTAAATAGAGAACGAGGACCTTCCTTTTGCAAGATCATCCTAGAAAACAAAAAAGTGACAATACTATAACATTTACATTAAAATGAAGGAATGCACTGACCACCATAACTACATCATTTTAAGCTTTACTCTGTGTAAAACTTGCACAATAACTCACAATGCAATCCTAACCGCAAAAGATTAGTCACTTCCTAGAATCAGCATAAAATAAAATTCTATTATTGCTTGACATGCCATAGGAATCCAGGAACTAAATGCATAAGTAAAGCCTTATGACGTCAGTACAGACTTTCCTCAAAGATAGGAACACATACATACATGGAGTTATCTGTCACTATGAAGTTAAAGAAAGTGTCCTTTTATCAGGGAGAAAATACTAAGCATGCAAATGTTCACATTCGTGTAGGTTGTAGATTGTTCAGGCGACAAAAATATTTGATTCTATTCTACATTTCTTTCATCATCCTTTAGCTCCCAATGTTTGGGAGCTTTTTGGGGTGGGAAGGACAGGGGGTGAAGGCCAAGAGAGGAAGAGAGGAGAGAGACTTATGAAAGTTCAGTTACAGCAAGTCTTATGCCTTCTGAGAGCAGCTCAGGAAGATGTTAGCTCTACTGCTTATCATGCCCAGCCAGGGACATCTTTCACAACCTATTATCTACTCTTCTTAAAATGACAGACACCTCAACATGGCTTTGCATGTGCTACCCTGCTTTGATTCTACAAAACTCCTAACAGTATGCTACATGAAGTTACAGTGAGAAGTTAGAGGAAAGCAGCCTTTCAGATACAAGGTCCTGCCTTCCCCATCCCCATAAATGATTTAAATCCACTAAGCATTCAACTAAGAACCCATTCTCAGCTTTATTATTTCTGTGCAATAGAGTGATTATTTTGCCTACAGTAAAAGGAAATGGAAACCTCCAATGTGAGAAAGTTGCCCTTCCTTGAGGCTGGCAGGGATACCAGTTCTGAAGTGTTGCCTGTGTGCTCCTACCCAAGCACTGCTGCTGGGCTGTGGAGCCAGTGGCCTCTCTTCAACTCATTCTACAAAAGACAATCCTTACCTCCCCATGCAAGGTAACTCACTTAAGTTTGAGATTAACTGAAAAAGGAGTGTAACCTGTGCAAAGAGTCACAGCAACAGCACAGCCCTAACATCTTGTGGTAACAGGTCCACTATAAACACAACTCTGGAAAGACTCCTTGGGTGGCAGGGGGGTGTCACCTACCATCTCTGTGGGATTTACAGAGAAACATAGGGATACGAGCAGTGAATTGAGACCTCAAAAAAAGGCATTACTAGCACTTAAGTGTTTGGAATACCTATCCCATGTAACTGTGGTTTTTAGAAAGAGTGGAAAACCATTATGCAGCAAGGTACACTGGCACAGTAAGGGGATATCCACTAATAAATATTCAGTTTTAGTAAGATCAATCTGTCCAACAATCTAGATGCTAATCAGATATGGTATTTTAAAAAGTATGGTAGGACATGGGAGGAGAAACAAGGACTATGCATCCCATCACTGCAAACTGCTCTAGCAATTGCTTTAGAAGCAGATTTAAAGTTAATTCTTAACTACTTCACTAGATGTTGCAAAACAGAACTCTGTGCTTATAGATTTAGAAACACCAGCCAATACATACAAATAGTTCTGTATATTTCTTCTTCAGAGACACACACAGGTTAACAACAAGTCAATTACTCAAAGCAAACTACCCTTGTATAAATGGTTATTTTGTTTGGAATTTACTATCCAAACACATGAAAACCATCTATAGCACTGAAGGAGATTCCAAACCTATTCTGATTTCCAGCAGCTGATTCACCACAGTTCTGCTGCTAAATCAAACTGAAAGTTTGGATTTTTTTTTTCCAGTAAGCAAAAATAAAATGGTGGTTTTGCACAATTACCATCACTATTTAGGAATGCTGGCATATAACATGTCCAGCAACATCTTAGCTTTGCATCCATAACAATTAGATATGATTTCACTATGTGGGTAGCATTGCTCCACAGCAATAATTGGAGTATTGAACACATACTCAAAAGCACTTTGGAAACACAAATTACTTAGACATGTCTCACCCTAAAAGCATTTCTAACACTTACAGAAGAAATTATTAAAAAAGTCTTACCATATTCCAGAGCTCAGCATGGGCACAGCGTCAGATTACAGCAAAGCTGAACACAATTAACATGATCTGCATCCACTTGGAACGCTAGTTAAAAATCACTACCACCACAACATCATGTGTTGAACATATAACACATGCATGTATACAAAGCAGCAGTAACCTCAGTGTCTTAAGAGAAACTTAGGAGTGAAGTGTATCAGGTCTATTTGTTTCTTCTGGATCTACAGTGTCCCAAGACTTGACAGAGCAACAAAGAGTTACAGAAAAGTTGCAGCAGACAGGATTATAATGGTGGTAGTTACTGACGCTCTTGTGCATTCACAGACACCAGCTGGAGGAGTTCCAGAGCCTACACTGAAAATAAGACACAAACTTTTTGCATTAAAGAGCAGATCCCAGCGCCTGCACTGTTTATTGAAAGCACTAAATGGCAAATCCACGGTTGGAAAAGCAGCACAAATGCTCCACATGGCCTTAGCTGACCTGCTTGTGTCACATGGGGAAGCCTGCATTGGGAAGCCAGTCAGATTTCCATCATCAAGACCTCAGGTTTAAACTCAACAAGATTAGAGGCATTTGCAATATGATATACACCACAGATATTTAAGAATAAGGGAATTTGCTTTTGTTGCCAGAGAATGCAGTCACCTGTACCCCAGTTCTGAGTTTGTTTCCTGACAGAGATGCCTTTGAAATCACCTCTGTTGATGCTTAAGATGCAGAAGTGATTCCACAACCATCAGTTAACTGAAATTCTGACATCATTTGCCTGATTCACCCTGCTTTTAGACTGAGTACTGTAAGCTTTGGAACACTGTACTGAGTTTGATATGAGAAGAGACAACCAAACCCTGACACCTACGAGTCAGAAAATATCAAGTGACAGTAAAAGCATGAGAGTGACAAGAGGGATCCAGTTTGATTTCCCCATTAAACAGCCCTAGTCCCTTAACCAAGAATGATTATGTCCTACACCTACATATTTTTATTGTCACAATCCATTGCCATGTCATTCGGGATTTTTTTTATATTTACTGTTATTTAAAGACCTTGAAACCCAGAAAAGTTACTTGGCATCTCAGTTGCTTGATACTAACCTGGAAGAAAACACCTCTAAGCAAAGAACAAAAGCAGCAGAAGATACACATTCTTGTATCACAGATAAACAAACAACAGGTCTAAGAAGCAGATTTAAAAAAACAAAAACAAACAAGCCCTACAAATGAAGTTCATCATGGACTACCTCTACCTCAGTCTGAATTTGCTTCCCGAGAAGACCAAGTTATTTTAGGTTTTAGGGATGGGTTTAAAGCATAGCAGGCTTCTAGCAGAGAGGCGTGAAACAAACATCTGTTCATCCTGGTATTCATTCAGATACATTTCTAAACAGAAGATAAATTCATAACCTAACATTCAGGGAAGAAGCTGAAGGGCTCAACTTCCATCAAGAGAAGCCAATAAGGCAAGTGTTTTGGATGAAAGTCTCCGTCCTTGTCACAATCTGAGCCCTTCCTTCCCACATACCTATTCCAAACACGTTCACCCATCAAACTCTTATATGTAAAAAGGCTCCAAATCAGAACTTCCACAGTAAGAACTATATTCCATTCAAGGAGCTATTTGGGTACAACCTCCATTTAAGCAAATCCTATCCACTAACCAGATTAAGCCTAAATCCTACACTGCAGCTGCCAGAAGGGGCTCTCTACAAACTACTTCTCACTGATTAACTGGGGATAGAAGATAGCTGGTCTGAGTCTTATCAAATTCTTTCTAATGCAAGAAGAAGTAGCAGGTTCTTTCTGGAGGAAAACCCCGCTCATTCCCAAATACTGAAGGTGCCTCCCTATAACTGGCTAGCTTGAGTCTCCCAGAGTGAAGTGAACCCTGCCTGTGGTCTTTACTAGCAGTCTAACTGCGGCCATAGAACTTTCCTGCTGGCTACTGAACATCACAAGCACTGGTGGCAAGGAGAGGAAAGGCAGTCCCCATTTAGTGAGGTGCTACGCAATCAAAACATCCCAGATCATGGCAAAATCTGACCTTACCTATCTCTTACTAGCTCTAAAAAACTGTTACTAGTCACACATCCAACAGAAGATACCAAAAGGTAGGAAGGGTATGGAGTGGTGAAAGTTGAGAGAGACTAAGAGAAACTGAGTTAATTTTCATAGGGCTTTTTGCCTCCATATTCAGCAACATCTACAATTTGGACACTAAACAGTTTAAAGAGTCTTATACTAACACTTTTTTAGGATGAAAATAGAGTCTGGCACTTAAGTGTTACAGTGCTCCAAGTGAGTTTTGTGGACGTAGTTTGGAGCTGTGAATTGTGCAGAGTATACATGCTCTGGCTAATTCAAGGTACAAACTCAAGTATGAAGGGCATATGGAAAAGTGCAATGTGAAACAATTACAGTTAAAAGGCAAAATATGGGAAGTCATTTCATGGTAGCATCATGACAGACATAAGAGCCTGAATCCTTCATACAGATTCATCCAACACACCTCTCTTCCTCCCTTCCCCAAATGAATGAAAAACCTGGTAACATGTACACTCACTTCAAACAATGGAGAGGTCCAGGAGAAATTCTAGTTACTCTATTGATGCTAGCACCATTCACAGCATTGAGATGGACTTCAGAGATGTAGAGAGTGACAGAGGAGGACTGCAATCGTGTTTTCACAACTTCCAGTGGACATGTCAGAATTGCACCAACAGTACCTCCACATCTGCAAAAAGAAATAGGATCATCACATTCTTAACTGCAAAGAAACTGAAGGATACATTCACATATAATTAACATTATACTCAACACAGTCAAATTGCAAAAGGTGAAGAAACAACTGGAACATGTGTGACAATGCTGCAGTTATTTGCCCTTTAAGGCAAGCAAACTGTTAAATCAGTTTAACTCCACAACTTGGGAGAGAAAATTTAAACAGTCAAAAATATAGTTTCCCAAAGTAGCAAAGGTGTACAGTCTTCAGTACATGCTGTTCAAATCAGTTCTGGAAATTAGCTCAGTATCTGAAATGTTTAACTTCTTATGGTAAATTTTAACTTTTTGAATGTTTAGTGCACTCCTGACCACAAACAAAGTGCCAAAATTCCTTAAAGGTAGAAAAGATTTATGCACTATGCACACAGGACTACATGTAAAACCTGCGATGTGGCAATTTAATAAAATTAAAATACTTATGAAGACATCTTCAGAACTCCATTTGTATTTTGGGTATTGTACCACGAAAGCAACAATTCCGAGTGTTTCCTGAGTTCTGCCCATTACAGCAAGACAGACTAGATTCTGAGTACAGAATACTGTAGAGTAGAACCTGGGAAGACAAAAGAGCTTTAAGTGGCTAACCAGGTGAAGACTAGCAGATTTTGCTTCAGTCTGCCACTCGTTTCTGTGAACAAGCCAAGGCAAGTTGTGCATAACTTGTGCTGACACTGGAGTTACTCCCATTCTGCTAGAGCAGAACAGAGCCAAGAACATACCGCCTTTTAGCATCTCTGCTCAGAGGATTCTTCTGGTGCTTGTTCATAATCCACTTATTAATATCTACACTCTTATCTGTTTAACTATGATCATATACAGCCTCTGAGGGAAAAATATCAAATCCACAAATTCTGATTCCAAAGACAACCCCAAATTCCTTGACATTACCATTACAAAAAGTGCTTCCCTTGAACTTTTTCTGAGATCAGTATTCTTAACTTTGCCAAATACCCTTCTTAAAACTATGACCAAGACACTATACGCCCCTTTAAAAAAAAAAAGGGAAAACAAACACTAAAAAAACCAAACCTTGATTTAAATTAGGGTGTTAATTAATGCTACTAACAAATCAGTCTGAAACCCACTAACACACAAATACAATTGGTACTAAATTCAAAGGGCCCAGCATTCACTTCTCTGATGCAATAACTAGTGTTTGATTCTGACAAGATAGTCACCAGCTGTTTTGTTGTAACATGAGAGGCTCAAACACCCCTGAAACCTTTAAAAACCTGTAAGACTTGTTTAGTAGTATTTTTTAAATAATGTCTTCCAAAATGCAAAGGAGAGTTCAGTACAAATTAGGAATAATAGCTAAGACTCAAGATCTCCTATAAACTTTCATGGGAAGGCAGTTTTTAGTCTGTTCATTCTTCTACTGCAGAGAACACCGGAAATAATGGTAGTTGTTAGCACAGCACTGCATCATAAAAAAACTAACCTGTTTGCCTGAAGTGACAATACCAAACACCTGCAAAGTAGGATAATGTTTGATGATGTTCACTTAATGTTCCATTTAAACCTAGTGACCTAGAGGTATCCTATTACTAAGCCTAATGGCATCTTGTCCCACCCCTAACACCAACATTAGACTGAAGTCTACTCTCTTCCAAGTTTTAACTGAGGCAAGAAATCAAGTTTCTTTGTCAGTCTGGAAAAAAGTGTTCTCACAGAAGACAGTCTTCCAGTGTACACTGCACACATGCAGTAACAGACTGATACCGCTTTTAGAGTAGCATGTTTACTCTTCTAATGGTAAGCTATAAGTAGACTTTTTAAAATAAGAGTTGCATGAAGAGACAGACTAGATGCGCTAATATTTATTTTAGCCAGCACTGGAAGCAGTAGGAGCCTGTAACATGTTAACATTCATGACATGAATGCATGAGAACCACAGGTGGGCAAACCCTGAAAACCAACTTGACATGGAGCTTTAGAGCTTGAGCATCTTCAAGATAAACAGCAAGTTATTGTGCTTCCTGCAGTTCAATAGCAGATACTGCTGTATGGTAATGTGACTGTGCAGGCAATATAGCAATTCAGCTTTAGAGTTTATTTCCTTTCTTGCAAGCCCTCTGTTTCTGATCCCCTCAAGCCTACTCCCTTTAAGATCTTTCTGCATTTGATTTTGGACAGGTCACATGAGGACTTGTTTTCAAGCAACAGTAATAGCAAAAGAAAGCATGTGGTATGGTTTATATTAATGAGATAAATACTATGGAAGGGGGAAGAAAGGAGGAGGAAAAAACCTGGGCTGCATTCTTCAACAGGGCTTGGAATTTGAAACCTTTAACGCTACTGGCTCCACAGCTATGTCACATTGGAAAAATTTTCCAAAGTTGAAGATTAATGCTGACCTGGAGCTTGTATCCTGCATGCTCCCTGCACCACACCCAAATCACCACAAGGGATGCCTGACTGCAACAGCACTGCTATCAGACATTCACTGTGGATGGGTTAGAAATACTTCATTCAGCAATGGATTACTAGACTACTAGGGAAGAGGGCAGACACACAGCTACTCAATGCTTGTTCTTTTTAAGTCTGCCTACATCAAGCATTGCTCAGTGATAACCAGCTGATGTAACAGCAGCCAGCACTATTTTTACATGCATCATAAGGAAGTAGCAGATCACATGCCTCCCTTTAAGAACTGTGCATCCTTTACCTGCACCACATTCTGTCATTCAAGTAATTTCAAATAATCAGCTCTTGGCAGTTTCTTACTGTTGTGTTGTTGGGTGCTTCTTTGGGGTTTTTTGTTGGGTTTTTTTCTTCTTTAAACAGTTTAAGATGTCTCAACTGAACCTGAGAATATTTTGAATGTTTGCCACTAACTATTGATAGTTTGGATTAAACTTCTGTTTAATTCTCCTCTGTCCCCTATCTTCAAGATCTCAAATTGCTACTTATAAATGAGGAAAGCAGAAGAGTTTTATAGTGCTATGTGGTTCTGTATTGCTTACAAACAAGTCTTTTTGCAAAATACCCAATTTCTACTTCTGTCAAAACGTAATACCTCACTCTTCCAGCCCTCAAAAAGCTCCACATAATAAAGAAAGCATCTGGAATTAAAGAGTGGAAGAAAAAGTCCCCAAATGTTGAGGAAACAGACTTTGCTCAGTAGTCACAAGATCCACTGAGTTTGAACTAAACCACTAAATGAATTCAATAACTATGCACCCTGTACAAATAAGCAACTTCTGCAGCATGCCAGCTCTTCTGTCACCAGCATCAATGACAGTGTATTTTACTTAGAAATTTTTCCGGCCTTGTTTATTTAACACACAAGAAATACTGTGAAACAGCTACTTCTTTGTGCTCCAAGTCCTGGCAGGCCATTAACAGCCAGTCACCAGCTCCAGCTTAGCAAAAGTGTTCCAGACTGCTGCCACCCTTCCTGCTACCCTCCTCATCAGCTCAAATTAAGGGGAGTTTTTTTTAGTTTGTGGTTTAAGACAAATTAGGCAGTAGCACAGTTTCGAAAAATATTTTTTAAGAGTTAGAAAATCACTAGATTTCTTCTCCTCAGTAACAGAGGTGGGATTTTGTAAACTACTTAAGAAATTTCTACTACCTAACACCACACTGGGCTTCAGCATCTCCAGTCATATACTAGGCTCCAACAAATGTGATGTGTGAGAACAAGTAGGTAAGCAAATACACTCCTGCTGACAGTATAAACTGGAAGAAGGGCAAAACCTGAGACACTCCTCTGTGTGAACATTTACAGCAGTTTCTAATGAATGCTGTTCAGAAGACCACTTGCTCATCTTACCTATCCTAAATCTGACATTTGCCTCTAATCAATGTTTACTACAAGCATTTTTCAGCTTTGCCAAGTAAGTATAAGAAAAACTTGCAAAGCTGACTTTCATCAGAAACACCTGATCATACAAGGGCATGAGAATCCACCTGTAGGTCCCAAGTAATCTGAAGGGCAGAAGAGCAAAGATCAGTAGGTAAATCCACAAAAATAAATACACAGTTAAAAAAGGAAGATTAAAATCCCACTACTATTAACACAGTCAAGTCAGAGAATTAAATCTGTAGCTTAAACTGTACAAGAAGGCACAAGAGACATTGCACTCGGTGAAACAGATACAGGGACAAGTAGTTATCGTCTAACTTGCAGGATTGTGACAAACTTAAAACAACAACAGCAAAACTAAGAACAGTTGTCTACTTGACATCTCTTGTACAGAAGAATGTAGGAAGATGGCAATGCTCTCCGAAACTGCAGCTTATTCAAGAGAGCACCCATAAAAAAACCCAACATTTAATTTGATCCTTAATGTGCATTTAGAAATCCATCACCTTACCAGATTAATAGAAACAAACCTGGAACTATTTGGCCTTTAAACTCTGCTAGCAACACAGACACACTATTGACAACTATTTTCCCCAGATAAACGCATACTATTTGTGAGACACTGCAAGGAAAGAAATATGCACGTGCTTCAAAAACCTTATCCTGTTTGGCATTCAAATCCCAGGGTCTATTTCCAGAGATGGTTGCAAAAGAAAACCTTCTTATCTTATTGCAAGTTGAGGGTATCTGCTAAGGAATCACTGCCTTTGTCCAAAGTAGTTGACTATCTTCTACTGTTACCTTACATCCCTGCGAGTAAAAGCAAAGACAGCTCCAGCATGGGTTAGAGTCTCAACTTCAGCCACTGGACTGCCTATAAATGCTCCAAAGCACATTAATATTCCCAAAACTGGCATCAGCTGACCTAGAATTTAAACTGTCAGTGTAAGAATTTTTTTTATTCCTTCAGATAATTATGTAATTTATAAAAATAAAAGATGAGGCCGCACAGCGCTAGCCTCAGAATTACCTTTCACAGTACTTGTAACCACAGCCTCAAAGACTCAAAGATAGTTATCTTGACCCTGTTATCTTGGGTCTACATTCATTCATTCATGTATTTTACCAGCTGTTTCTCTTTCTTGTATGAAAATGAAAGTTCCATCCAAATACTGGCTGCCAAGAGAAATAGCAAGAAAATTGAGCTCAAAATTCTGTCAAAAGAAATAAAATGCAACCCAAACAGAACTCCTTCTAATCTCTTCACCACTTACTGGAAATTTAGGTGCCAAATGTATCAAAAATTTCATAAAGCTGTCTTCTAACACGAGTGTCTTCCATATCAACAGATGAAGTTGCAAGTTCAGATATGAAGTTTAACACATCTCTCTTTTGAGGGCATTTAAAGGCTGTAGCAAGTACAACTTTCAGAAACAGCAAGAATGTGTCTCATTAATCCTGAATTTTCAGGGTTCTCCTGTTATTACACTGCTAAACTTGTACATTCTACACCTTTCCATCTTTAGCATTAATATGACGACTACGAGTACTGGCCACCAGAAACCCCTAGCCCCCTTATTCACCAATCATGGGTTTGTTGCCAAAACTTAGAGAGCGTAAATTAAGCTAACATCCTTGAACTAAAAATACTAATCGCTATTAATACTAATACTAATTGCTATTTCTAACTAACAGCATAAAAATAAAATTCCCCTGATGTGCTGACATACAAAAGTCTGCAAGTGAAAACAGGAAAAACACCACAAGGGGAACAAGCATCACTGGGTCCCACTGTCCAAAACAATCAACATGTACCACATAGCTTCTATTAAGAACCAGGGTAAATAAATATTTACAACAACATTTGTATTAAGTAAAAACAGCTGAAAACATCAGTCATCTAGAAGGAAATATGAGAAACAAAACAGTTTCACAGTTTCTCAAGTACTGACAGCAGGTTTCATGCAATTTGGTAACCTCATGGAACAAAACCCAAGCTATTCAGTGCTTTAAACAAACACTGTCTTATTCTGCATAGAAGAGTATCTGAACACAAAAAATAACCTTAGGTTTGGAAAGGAAAGTACTAACCTTCTTCTATGCCTTACAACAGGAAGAACTCATTCTGAAAGACATCCAGGGTTATGGCAGGAATGCATTTTAGGGTAGAGGGGAGTCCAAGAGCTTGGCAGCTCAGTTATGGCTCAAGTGGCTATTTTCTGAAAAGGAGTAAAAAAAGTCCCTGTCACCCAACTACCTGCTACATTATTCATTAATATCTTCTTAAATAAAAAAAATCCAAGGGTCTTTCACCTTTACTTCATACATTTCAACAGTATCTGATCTTTCTGAAGAATTCAAACATTTATCTTACATATATTTTCTGAATCTGAACTATTTCAGCCACTGCAGGGATTTGCCAAGAACCTCTGTCAGACAGAGTGATTTACATTACAGGTCAGTTTGAGACAGTTCTATAATCGGGACAAACAAACAAGAGACTCTCCCCTGGACTCCCTCACATATTAGAGAACAGCCAACTTCCTGCAAGAAACACCAACAGTAAAGAAAGAATTAAGAAGTAAACCTGAGACAGTCCAACCACGAACTCAGAAAAGCACTAACCCAAAACAGTCCCTCCTCCGCTGAGGGACCAAAGCCCAGGCAAGTTCCCATGCCCTAATGGAAGTTTGTATGGTACAGAATTACTGTCATAAGCTTTCTAGAAATGAAAAATAAATCATGAAAACCTGGAAATTATTTTTGTAGCCAACACCTGAATTTTCATTCAATGTACCAATTATGACTGCAAGCAGGTACATCCACAACATATTAATCTTCCCTATAAAGCAAAACATTAAGGTCTATTACTTTTTTGTTGTTTTAAGTAGTCTAATAACTAGAAAAGCATGCAAGTGTGTAATTTACATACTTGAACTAAAGTCTACATTTCAATCACAAGACTTTGTAATTTAAGGATGCAGAATGTTCAATTGATTTCTTCTTGGTTTGGAATAAAAGCACCCGAGTTTATAGCTGTCTACAGTGACAACAGCTGCTATTTGAGTAGGAGATGGAAAAACAGAAGATACACAAAAAAATCTACAGTTTGATTCCTGAAACAGAGGAGTTTTGAGCAATGCAACCAAGTAGCTCAGAAGATAAAAAACACCAAACAAAAACAAAAAAAACCCAGGAGTTTCACCTGAAACACAATTTTGTATCATGATCCAACACTACAGGCGTCCAGCTAGATCCTGCTCCCACAAGGGCAAGATACTACTAGCAAATGGAGCTGTGGTAACTACAGTTTGTGGAAAGAGAACCTGACAAATAGGGGTATCATGACAAAATATGAGCTAAGTGATTTCAAATGTGTCACAGCATGAAACTAAACTCCAGGTACACTATCAATCCATTCAGGTATGCTCTCTGCACTTACTCTTCAGTATAGAGTGCACAGTAGCAGTTTTGAATACAGCCTAGAAAACTACGCTTAGGACAGCAAAGTTACTGCATAGAACCAATTGCTTACAAATTCTATCAGTTAAAACTACTTTACTTTAAGGAATGTGTTCTTAAAAGTTAGTAACTTTTTATTCAAAAGGAATTCTTCCTTTTTCTACCTCATTTCCTGTAAGTGTGATGCTCTTCTCATGCTATGCATTTTCTGCTTCTAAATGCAACTGCTGTTATTTTTACATATAGAACTTCAGAGAATATCCTATTTAAAAAAAGTCAAGGAGGTCCAAGTAGTATGTGCAGGGAGGGGTTTCATGTAAATGAAGTAGTACTTTGCTGTTGTATTGGCTAATGCATAAACTAATACAGCAAAATCATTCAATAAGCTTTCTTTTCTAGAAAAAAATGCACCACTTGAATTCAATGATGGTGCGAGAAACTACATTAAAGCTATTCCAAAATGAGTACTAAATTGTTTCTTTTTAGACTTAGACTTAGTATTTCTTTGACAAAATATTGGTTGTATTTACAATTAACATGCAGTTATTAAACACAGATGGGATTCTTAAAAACAGAACTACTTGACTAAGAATTACTTTAGAAAAAACAAAACAAGTAGTAACTGCTGAGTAATTCCCTCACCATCACTGCCCCAGTGGCCAGCACTTCTAAGAGTCTACCAAACCTGTTGGAAAGGGATAAGGATGCAGAGATAGGAAAAAAGGAATGAGGGGAAAAAATTACTATAAATATAAAACTAACTTCCAACATAAACCTGCAATGGCCCAGAAGCATTGCAGACAGTTGTTGAATTGGTCATGAAACAACCTAGGCAGCTACAGAAAAACCCCAGGATGGCCCCACCTACATTACTAAAACTGCAATGTCATCAGTTACAATTTCATTACAGAAAGCAGAAATTAAAGACTGAACTTAGACATTACAAAAAAAGGCCAGCAGATTGAGATAGTCCTGTTATTTCCATATAGTCTCTAGTGAAAACTACAGGAAAAAGCTTCCTTCCTTTTTCTTAAAGTTTCACTGAAGATTAAAGATCACTCAGGTGATCTGTAGTTCACCATGCTCACAAAGAAGTCATGAGATGACACTAAATAACTTTTCTACTGCTAAATGTGACAAATATACACCGATAGCTTTGCTGAACTAAGGTTACAGGAAATGTGTGGCTGGCACATGAAGGAACGTCATTCAGCCTTTTCCTCACAGTATAACCCTTGACCCAACTGGCCAGCAGCTAACTGTAGACCAGACTCCTCTGCAAAAAATAGGAATGAACAAGTTGAGCTGAGCAATCTTCATCCAGTCTTAAGTTTCAAGTTTATAAACCTTCTCTACCATTACACATGATTCTGCACAGTAATCTCCCCTGTGCAGAGCTATCGAGTTAAAGCAGTACAATAAGGCAACACTCCTACTGTTTTTCTGAACGTTTACAAGGATGTGAAGTCTGAAGGAAGAGTACACACTACTACATCTTGGGCCTCCAGCTGCACAATCACTCTCCTCTTAGAGTGCCAAAAATTAGGGGGGTGAAGAAGCACCCACATAAACTCTAAGTCAGGTGCATAACACTGCAAACTCACCCAGACCTGCTCAAAGGAAACACTATTATTTTTCCACCTCAAACACCTCAGTCCAGAGGCAGTGAGTTAATTTTGTCAAGAAGGAACACAAATGGAAATCTAAGCCTCAAGCTCTCTCATGGGATGCAAACCATGTTCTCAGTCTGCCACTTCTCCCACTTCAGCACAGCCACGCTCACCACCCAAACGCACTTTTATAGTTAAGCCAAACAGGATCTCCAACTTTCTCTTTTAAGCTAGGTGCTCCTCCCACTCTATCCCTGGAGGGGCCACAAGCTGTGTGACTGCATACATCCCGTGCATTACAAAGCTTAAAAAGATGAAGGGAGACTAACACCTGCAAAGGTACAAGAGTTACCTCAAACCTAACCAAGGCTACATGGGCCACATCTTCATGTCTAGCTATGTTCGTCCCTCTGATTTCTTCTTCATGGGCGGAAAGCTGCATGACCACGTCAAGCCCCACACCTAAAAGCAGTACACAGGAGAGCGCTGAAACGCATTCAAGCAACACGTACGGCGGCATGTTTGGGCAGCCTCTCCAATGCAGTGGGGGAGCCCACGCAGAGGGGGCTCAGCGTGTTTCTCCGTGGAAATGCCAGACAATGGACAAACTCCTGGAATGGCGATCAGAGGGAAGGGGTTATTTTTAGGGGAAACCTTCAACCCCGCTTCCCCCATGGGCCCACCTACCACCCGCACGTTCCCCGTGACAAAACGCAACACCCGGGGCCGAGCCTGACAGGCACCGCACGCCGGCGGCGCGCCCAGGCTCCCAGCGAGGGCCAGGGCCGCCTGACCCGGTGGCCAGAGCGCCGCACAAGCCTGGGCCCAAACGCGCGCAACCGGCCCGGGGCAGGCCCGGGAAGGGCCTCAGGGTGCCGGGCGGTAAGCGGCGCGCCGGGAGCGCCTC